CAGGGTTTGTTCCCAACTGTACGAACAGAAAGAAGAGTTCTAGATTCCTTCACTGAGTCTCTGCTCAGTGTCAATCTGCAATATTTAGTTAACAGTTTGGTTAACTAAACTGAAACAAAATGGCTCACAAATAAAAAAAAAAAAAAACAACCTTTAGTTAGAATGTGACATTAAAGAAAAAAACCAGCAAGATAAAAGGATGAAAAGAGGGGAAAGGATCATTGCAACTACAAACGGTTCTCAGAATGTGCTTCTTCCTTTGATCTGAGATTTTAGGAAGTAAAGATGCTTATGCAGTAATCCGACCGCAGAGCCTTTAATCTGAGACAAGCTGATAACGCAGGAGGGTTAACGCAGGTGACGGAGACAGCCGGCTCGGAGGAAACGCAGTAGCAGCAAATGTGAAGACTATTCAAATGCCACAGCACCACGAGTCAGACTAAGAATTAGGAGGGAGAGGAGAGGAGAGGAGAGGAAGCTTGAAGTTGAGCATATCCTGTGAGGGCTTTGTAAAGATTCTGGGTTTTATGTAAGATGGCAGATCTCTTGGTGTATTTTGAGAAAAAAAAAATATGATATGACATTTTGTTTTATTTTTGAGGTGCTATGGCCCCAACTCAGAGCTGTCTTGATGTTAAGCAAGTGTTCTACACAAAGCTGGATTTACAGCGTCCTTGATTTACATATAAAAAAATCACTCAAAATAATTATTTAAGAACAAACTGAGGGAAGATGGATGGGGTGAGAAAGGACAGTGAATTGAATGGAGGTAGTGCTCGCACACAAAAACACAGCTCTCACCTCAGAGAGAAAAAGAGGTAGTTTATTCTGGAGCCAAATATGAGTGACCATGCCCTGGAAACATAGGTTTAGGTCTCCCTAAATATGAGTTTACATTGTGAAAGCAGGTTCCTGGGGCTTTTTTTATACTAACAACAAAAAGTCATCAGTCAAGACCCTTTCCAAATACAATGCTGGAGACACTAAGAAGACAGTTACAGAAGAGTGAGAAATCATAACTAATCTCCAGTTATCATGGAGTTGAAACCAAGCCTATTAGTGATGTAGCTATTTGTAAGGTTGTAGCAGAACACAATTCATTTTTGTGGTAATGCTGGTGTAAACCCACCATGATGATAGTCACATAAAATTACATCATTACAGTTATGACAAACTACTATTACTGGCAGATGTAATGCTGCTGGTTTATGTATTTGCTGTCCTACACTATTAATCTTTAGAGTATACTCCTATTTTCAATTATTTTTCTGTAAAACAGTGTGCCATGTTACATCTGTAACAGTTTTTATATATATCATGTTTTATCATATTTCTTGATTAAATCAAAGGGCTATGCCAAATGATAGCCATCTGCTGTGGATGTTTGTATAAGTACACACAATGTTATTTGCACACTGATAAAATTGTCTAGTAAAAACATTTCTCAGAATATATCTCCATCACTAAGTAATCTATGATTCTTAGAAATCCATTGTTAAGAATTCCATAAATTTTAACCCATCCATTGTGATCAAATAAGCCATGCAAAAGACATAAATATTTTAAATGTAAAGTAATAAAACATAATTTAGTTTATTCTATTCTCAGACATTTGTCTCAGACTACTCCTAAAAGTTATTGAAAACTTCCAAAGAGCTTTTGTCTATGTAGTTATATCTGTCAAAATAAAAATTAGGACTTATAAAGCTTGCATATATATAAGTATAGTAGCAATTAAACCATTATTTAACAACTTATATACCTTATGAAAATGGCTATATTTTGGAGAAGAAAAAACATTTGCAAACAGTCATATTATTTTATGGACTTTTAGCTGAATTAATAACTACTTTTTTTGCATAGAATTTCTATTTATAGGAAATTTTTGTTGAAATACATGAAGAAAATCTGACCTTAATTATGCATCTAGCTGAGGGAAGAACATTAAAGAGATTTTTCAGAAAATTATTGATATTTGGCATGGCATCAAACTTTGACAAGTAGTAATCTTAAAGGTTAGTTGCCAGGAGGCCTGGGCATGGTGGAGCACAACTTTAATCCTAGCACTTGGGAGGCAGAGGCAGAGGCAGGAGGATCTCTGTGAGTTTGAGTCCAGCCTGGTCGACATAGTGTGTTCCAGGCCAGCCAGTAATACATAGTTAGGCCCTGTCTCAAAAAAAAAGTAAATATCTGTAAATTATATCAATGAGCTTTTAATATTCTGTTACATACTTTAAAATGTAGTACTCTGTCTTGAATTTCAAATGGATATTTTACCCATGTGTGTCTTTGAAACAGTATGCATTTATTGGTATTTGGAAGATATTGATTCACCATATCTTTCAAAAGTTGATACATTACATAATGCCATTTTTGTCATATATATACATGTGTATACACATACAAATGACATGCAAATCAGTGGGTCAAAGCTACTGAAGCCGAAATTACTGTGAATTTAATCTCTTTGTCCTATTCCTGATGTGATCGCGAATTCTTTAAAACAAATTTTACTTTTTTATAAGAGTTTCAGACAACCTGGTTTGATCAGAATATTCATTCCCCTCAACTTTTCCCAGACCCACCTCCCTTTTCTATGCACTCATTTTACCAGAATTTTAAAGATATGTTTTCAAAAGTTGCTACTTCATTTGCACCAGTCCATCTCCCTCCTTCAACTCTTCCCCTGCCCTCCTAATTTCTTCTCAAATTTATGACCTCTTATACTTTATTATTACGCGCGCACACACACACACACACACACACACACACACACACACACACGCACTCACACACGCATGCACGCACGCACACACGCTCGAGCATGAGAGGAGATTGAGTGCCCACCCGCATCTAGCCTGCCGCCTGCCATATGCCACGCAGCTTTACCTGTCCCAAGAATATATGTAAGCTTGGAAGAGAGAGGAAAAGGAGGATAGACAGTTATATATTTTTTAAAAATAAAGTCTTTAAAGAGACAGTAAAAGTAATATAATAAGCCACATAAAGACGGAAATCACACAGAGAGTCTGGAATAGTCCCTTAATTTTCTTTTTTCTTCTATCCCATATCAGGTGGATCTTCTGACATGAGACAGAGATTTTGGATTTTTCTTTAACAAGCATGCTTGGGTTTAGACAAAAAGAGAGCCACACTCCAGCTCCAAAGCAAGCTTTAATTTTTAATTAAACTGGGACTACAAAAAGACCATTTGCCTTCTATATCTGTAAAGGACAGTAGAGACAAACGCTTGGGAAGATGTATGAAATTTTATCCTGTTGGGAGGTATGCTATACTATTAGGTCACTTTATTCTCTTTTGGGGGGACATTTTCTCTTGATGATTCATTCTTCTTTTTTTTTGATGTCTTATTTGTCCATTGGTCTTCAGATTCCTTAGTTGGATGCTTTTATTCTCCTGGAAAGACAAAAACAAAACTGTAGTTGGTTGTTTTTTACTCTTACCCTTTTGCTCTTTGGGGGCCTGATATCCGGCTCCCAAATATGGCTCCCAAATAAATGACAGAGGCTTATTCTTTCTTACAAATGCCCTGCCTTAGCTTGGCTTGATTCTAGCCAGCTTTTCTTAACTTAAATTATCCCATATACCTTTTGCCTCTGGGCTTTTATGGTTCTCTCTTCTATATACCTTTCTTTACCTTTTACTGTGTAGCTGGCTCTGTAGCTGGGTGGCCAGCCCCTGGAATCCTCTTCCTCTAACTCCTAGATCTCCTCCTACTACATTTCTCCTTCTCTTTATTCTCTCTGCCTGCCAGCCCCGCCTATCCTTCCTCCTGCCTCGCTATTGGCCATTCAGCTCTTTATTAGACCGATCAGGTGTTTTTGACAGGCAAAGTAACACAGCTTCACAGAGTTAAACAAATGCAACATATCTTTGCACCATTAAACAAATTTTCCACAGCATAAACATATGTAGCACATCTTAAAATAATATTCTAAAACACAAAACCCAGCCCCAACCCTAATTTTGGGGAGTTGTCTTTTTTTGTCAGGTTATAACTGATCAAATGAAAGGCATCTGTTAGTCTTTTAAGTTAGTTTAGATAGAATGGCCATACTGTTTAGTGAACAATCACGTCTCTTAATCAAGAGGTCTCTCTTGGTCGAATCTAACCTTTTCCATCTTAATGGCATTCATAGATTTTTTTTCTCCTGTGAAAACAAAAGCAAAACCTATTTCCCAATGTAATACAAGTCCTGGTTTCCATTCTGAGGTCAAAGCATCTTTAAAGTATACAGGCTGATTTAATTCAGCAGTTATTTCTATCTAATGTCTCCCTACAGCTGTTGTTCCTTTCTCATTAGCATTTAAAAATTTTAAAGTTAATAAAGCATTGTGTAATCTATCCCTGGGAATCTTTATTACCACTTTTTGTTTATTAAGCATATCTTTTTAAGTGCAATTAGATCTTTCTATAACTGCTTGTCCTGTAGGATTGTGTCGTATACCTGCAATATGCTTTATATTGTAATATGTAAAAAAAAAAACAAAAAAAAAACCCTGTTTCATTTTACTAGAGACATATGCTGGAGCATTGTCAGGTTTTAAATTAATTTGTACAGGTATCCCCATAATATCCATGACTTCTAATAAATGTGTAATTACAGTATCAGCCTTTTTTAAAACTTAATGCAGTTGCCCATGAAAATCCTGAATATGTATCTATGGTA